TGGAGCCTATCTTAGCCCCCTGCTGGGAAGTCGGGGTGGTCGGTTGGTAGCGAGCGAGGATTCCGAGGAAGGGATCTAGGTTCGAAATCAGCCAAGCCCAGTGTGATGCAGGCCCCCGGCGCTATTCGGGATGGAGACTCCTATAACGCGCTGCACTCCGAATCCAAATGCAGCACTTCAATAATATCCCCGTTGGTGAAGCTTCCTCAACGAAAAACGTACTCCGGAGTAGACACTACACTATTTCTCCTAAACTAGGGGCTACTAACCCGGTTTAAATTTGCATGCATTTGTGTGAACTCATCCAAACATGCGATATTTATCTTTCAACAACCACCAAGCTAACTTTGTCCTGAGCGATATATCAGGCCAATTTTTCTCAAGGCGAGGGAGGAAAATGACATTGTCCCCTTAGCAGTAATGCCAAAACATTCTTCGTGCACATGAAATAAAATAAGTGTCCACGTGTCGCTTTATAATTTGATTGTATTCAATGGAATGTTTAATTTAAAACAGAGTACTAGCTTGAGGGAAGTTCATATTAGCTTTTTGAAGACTCTAAACGATGCCAATAGGGCTGGTATTGGTGTGATTGCTATATGCGAAATCATGAGCTGGAGGGTCCTTGGGATATGTTTCCTCATCACCGAGCCAGAGGCCCAGAACCGTAATTCAAAGGTTGGAGGGTACTTGGGAAAGATTTACAGCGCTTGTTCCTTTCTTTCCCTAAATGTCGAGTTCCCCCGCATCACGTGGCATCGAGGTCGCCAACTTCTAAGATACCCTTTTCCCATTCATTGCAAGCCCTCCGCGAAATGTGTGACGAATGCTCACCTGAAAAGCCAGTGGGCTCCACTTCCCTTCCTTGTGAAAGACACATTTTCTATGTAATTGAGACTTCGGCTGTGACGAATCCGGGCATCAAAGGACGAAGCTGAACACCTCTGGAGCGTGTCCAAATCCCTCGGCTTGCTCAACCGAAGCCCTATAGGCTTCGTGTCATTTCTCATAATGAGGAGGCATGAAATATTAAAGTGCCGAGCCTCTACGGTTCCAGGTGCAGTGGAAGCAGAATCTTTCACCATATGTGCATCACTGCGGTTCCTTTCTTCTCGTTTAGGAAGGCATGCTACTGTAGCATCCGGAATAGAATATCTTCAGTATTCAACGCATGGTAAATTATTAGGCCTACTCTGACTAGGCATTAAGATTCTTCACGTCACTGAGTTCGCCTCAAGTTACTTTGTTCTAAACACCTATAGCATGATCATCTTCTTCCGCCCTTCAGGCACTGATTTTCTGTCAGTGTGCCTACTGCTCTCCAGAAATCTAACTGATATTCACGTCCACACGTGCTCATATTCGTTATTCATGTTACGAGTGCATAGAGGCTGGAGTTGCAAGCTGACTTACCGCACCATATGGGGCACACAACGATGAATCAATTAGCAGTAAGGTCCGTATAAAATTGTGGGAAGCTAGAAGTCAAGAGCGGGAAATGGGGATATAAAAATACCATTTCCTGCGGTAGATAATGAGAGAATCAGAGGCATGGATCTCTGCGGTTCGTTTCTCATTTTCAACTCCCGGAGACCTTGGGAAATGCATGCATTTCCTCTCAACGTACATGGAGGGGGAATTAAAGGTCGTATAACATCAGGGAGATCCTGTGACAGAGGGATTAAATAAAAAGAATTAAGGGGGGTTATTCAATTACGTGAAGGGAGGGGAGGAAAACGATATCTCCTCTAGGCCTTTCCCTTCCGCTACATTTATCCACTGAATGGAAGTTGGACTCCCGCCCTTTCTATGGAAGCAACATCATGTTATCAAACCTCCCATCCATCCACCTCAAAGGCAGGCTATGAAAGAACATAAGACTTCAGAACAAAATTGAATCAACTTCCTGGAAATGGAGTAACAGCTAAGAATAAATAGCTAGCAACTCGGTGGTCTTTGATTTTCTAATAATGGATGAGAACGATAGCAAGACTAATGTCTTGCTATCGTTCTCAAGAAGGCACCAAGATCAACGGACTCTTAGAACACTAATGCATTCGCGCTGTAATGCATGCAAGACGAAGGTGCGGGGGCAGCAAGATGAACTCCTCCCGCTAATCTACCGGTATATACCGACCCGACAGCTAAGTGGCTGAGAGGACTAAATGAGGACTCCCATTTGGGATCTGGCCGTAGAAAATGGGAAAAGATAGCCACATGTTGCCCTTAAGAGAGAAGAGTAGGGAACTGGAGCTCGGAGCAATGAAGTGGAACACAGGCATGCTCGTCCCTTTCAGTACCAGCACAAGGAAAATTACTCAGAGACCTACTACGAAACGACATATGGGTCAGTGAGTCGAAGTCTTACGAGAAAACCATCTACGAGGAATGCATACGAAAGAATAGGAAAAAGGTACCATATCCCTGTGTATCTGAATCTGATCCTTCCGCTTTGAGCCCAGGAGACAAAAAGATTGAGATCATGAGCAGGTGACCTCAGTGCACCTACACAATGGAAGAGGCCATTCCTTTGTCCCAGCGGCACCTTGATGAGAACCTGCCACTAGATTCAATTAGGGTGTCTGCATGCAGGGTCCGAGAGGGAAGCGGAAATCCCCAATCTATGGGACCCTACCATTAAAATCGAGGAGGAGTTGATGAGAATGGAAATGAAGTCACAGGTGCAGCAGTAGAAAGAGTTATCTTTATCTCTCCCCCCCACCCTGTGGCCAAGGTCTACTCTCCAAGAAGGCCTTGAACACCTCCATTCATTCATGAAGCACCCATTCTCCATGCAACCTCTACTACCCAAGGGTAAATGATACAAACTCCGACTTCCTTAAGATTAAAATGCGCCTCCTCACCTACGTTTTGAAATTGATGGTTTTAGGATCTTTGCCATTCGAGAGGAAAATGCACGCGCTGTCCATTCATGTTTTGAGACCGGACATTGGTGTAATTTGGTTGAAAAGGGCTATTTGGAAACGTTGCTCTATATATAAAGTTTCGTTTATGTTGATTTATGTAACGCGGGGGCGGACTTTATAGCAAGGTCGGAATACGTCTCACTTATCCTACTTTCATTCTCGAAGGAAGTTGCAACTGCCTGCATTTCCACAACCTGTCCCCATCCCAGTTTTTCTCTCGAAAAGTTTTTCCTGAAACATCGAGGATATCCATCTTCATCAAATCCTTGACAAGGAAATAAATGAGAGGCGAGAGGGAGAAATGTCTTCACTTGACGTGTTGCCAAGCATTCATCCCACCTGGCCCGACGGATGCAACTAATGCGGTGCACCGCCTTTCAGCGCGTAACGGGAATGCCCATCTAGTCTTGACGGAATCAAAATCCTGCCAAATGCACTATTTATAAGTGCAAAGCTGCTCAGAAATGTCAGGTACATCACTCACTCTTGATTTCGGTTTCAGAGAGTACATTCACATGCAGATGGCGGCCCCCACCTTAAAGATGGTAGAAGATATGTCACAGCTGCGGAGAGATGAGATTTCCCTTTTCTAGATAACATGCTATGGCCTTCATAAGCGGCATCACCTTTCATCTCATTATATCCAGGAGGAGAGAAATCGAACGCCTGTGAAACGATTAAACCCTGAAGAGGCCCTGTGAGAAGGAGGCCCTTCATTTCATCCGTACCCACCTGTGAAATCCTCCATCACGCTACAGAGGCTCTGCCAAACAGATCTCAATGGGATTTAGCATGGTATGAGGAAAAGCCATTCATGGCTTCCATGATAGACACCTGGCGAGATGCGCTTGACATGAATCTTCTGTACACGTGTACTCTATGGGATGCCAGTCTACCCCCCCCCCCCCCCCCCATCCCCTCACACACACACACACACATAAGGCACATATGCTAAACGTTTTCCGTGTCTTTGCATCTCCGCCTGCCAGTCCCAGCCTTGCTCCTGTTCCTGACACACCCTTCACTTCATCTCGCTTCTCAATGGAGATTTCAAGAGCTTCCTTCTTTCGCCTCGGTAATTTTTTTTTACGCACCGCACATGCTCCAAGGCGTAGGCAGGATCAGTTCTTCAACGTTAGGAGCCCTCATGCGAGGCCAGGGAGGCCACGAAAAATATATTTATGTAACGAATATAGGCTTTCTTGACGCTTTTATCTATCTTGGGCGTAAGCCTTCTCGTAGCTGAGTAAACTTGATGGATGCTGGATGCGATTTTGAAATGGGTTTATACAAAATGTTATACTATCATAGCTCTCCTAAAACATCTGCTCCAGTGACCTCTAGTGACCATGAGTTGAACCAAAAAGTTCCAAGACAACGAAAGCTACGCCTATTTTGCAGGCAAGGCAGGCAATTATGGATCCCATGGAAACGGTGAACGTACTCAAACAAAATCAATGCAAGCCTATATTGTACATATTCTATTAAGGTCTTAAAAGTGTCTGGCATTTTAACCAGCATGGAAGGCAATAAAAGCTATATGAAAGTGACATGAGCTAAAAGCGTCGGGCATCGGTAAAGGTAAAAACCAAATACGACAAGCAAGGAGGTAAAACAGCATGTCGTCCTCTGGTTCCGCTCTTCACCAAAACGACTTCCATAAAGAAGCTCTTATGAAGGAAATGGAGGATGGGGGATCTGATACCGAATAGTTTCTAATTATCATTAAATTGCCAAGGCCCGCACTTTAATGGAACTTGCAACATCCCAGGTTTGTAAAAGTTAGGCCTCTAACTCGCAGACCTTGGGTGTAGTTTCAAGTTCACAGGAGTCAGCTTAATTAGCATGAAGTGCAATGTCTGTCCCTCATTCTGGAGACATATACGTAACTTACCCTCCCCTAGGCCTAGCTTAAATTATCTTCACCACAGGGAAAGAGGAATGTGCAACCATGATCCTGGGTACCGCGACAGCTGGCGACCTTGAAAGTCTAGCGGGCAGCAGGAAGAGCATCCTCGACATTAAACCACGGCGACTGTCATCCACGACTTACTGAGAAGCAAGCAAGAGAGAATGTTCGACGTTCACGTCGGCAAACAGATTCTGATCGCCAAGGACGGGGCAAGATGTCATTTTGGACTCACAAAGGGGAAAGACATCGATGTTCATGTCAACCTCTCCCTGAAGTTTGGTGAGTTTACTGCAGTGAAAATCTCTCCAAGCGGAAATGATTTCGCTGGTTCTCCTTTCTTTTGATGTTTATCTTCATTCGTGAAACGTTGACGCATGAATATGCCACAACATGGTCCAACAATGGCCATAATTGTTCAATATTTTCCCATCTTAGGTCTTGCAGCTCCAATAATCCATCGAAGCTACTTGTTTCTCAAACTGAACTGAACCCAACTTGGGCTTGGTAAGTCTATTCTGCAGTTTTTGCGGTGGAGTTTGACGGTCTAACATGCTTTCATTCGATTCTTACCCTAAGGACCGTGCAGAGCATGATGCATCATGCGCAGGAGTTCCTACAATGACATGCAAATGAATTCGTACCTCTTTTAACATGGGCTTCAAAGGCCTAATGTCTCTTCTTTTATGGAAGATATCCCCCTCGTATCTCGCATACACCATAGAAATTACACGCACGACATTAAAGGTGGTACGAATTCATTTGCAAATCACTGCACACGCTCACTTTGTCGCGTCTTCTCCCCTTGTCCTGTAACATCTGCGCTCAGTCATCGCCATTCCGGCCTTTCTGGATGAGCAGGATATAATAATAAAGACTGCAGAGTCGCCAACTCTGCCGTATTTCGTGGCTGTCCCATGCACAAGACTCGGAATCTTCGGCGAGATACGAATGTGATACGAAAGATCCATTTGATGAATGGATCTTTCGATTACTCAAGTCCAGGTGCCTGTTCCTCGTCTTTGCTTAACTTAGTCAAGTACAAACTTAATTTGAATCAAAACTTAATCTAATTTAAAAGCGGTAAGTTGGCACTGAGGTGAGAAACAACAAACTCCCTTGGCTGCATTTTTCAATGCTTTCAGTCCAAAATTAGATTAAGTTTAGCGTTAGATTAAATTTAGAGCAGACGAGGAACAGATCCCAGATCTACCTCCAATCATGCCCATTTTCTCATAACAATACTCTTGCACTGTCCCTGACGAGCATGGAAATTGGCCGGCAAGTACTCATTTGTATTCTAATTTGTATTCATTTGCACTCTAATTTTAAAATGTACCCATATTTTTAAGACTAATTAAAGAGACTAGCACAAGGAGCTCATCCGTCTCCATTTCAAATCTCTTTCTCATTATTGAATTCCCAGGCTAAGAACGTCTCGACAGGATGAGGTTGAGGCAAGGACAGAAAGTGATTCCATTCGGAGGCGAATGTGACCAGTCGCTTAAACTCACTCGAGGAAGTTCTTGAAGGTGACCGGGTCCAGTCGCTGTCCAGGGAGGGGGCCTGGCACGCGTGTGGCATAACCGCTAGGTTTTTCATGGTCACAATTCTGGGTTTGGTTTGCGCGAGGATATTCGTGAGCTGGAAAGGATCTTGCCAGTTCGTTGTGAGTTGAGGTGGTCTTGGCAGCCTTCATTAGACTTAAATGTTGTCACAGTTACGATTGTTCGACCATGTCTGGGTGGTTTCCAACCCAAGGGCACTACTGTCTCATTGGTACCATGAATACTCTTCCAGTAAAGGGTGACACAGTATATTCTCGATTTATAGCAGCATCTGCCTTCTGTCAAGTTGAATGAAATTGGATTAGATGCCGACTTCGAATGGAAAGGTCTCTTTTCCTGAGAAGGAAACACATTTCAAAAAAGGAGGGGAAGGGGGACAGGACCTTCGGAAGGTAGATAATTGCCGTAATCTGATTCTAGAGCAACTTGAAGGCTGAATTCAATTTGGACGTGAGACTCTCAGATATCCGAATCACCGACATCTTTCCTCAACCTTCGCATCTGGAAACTTCCTCAGAGTTATGACTCTCGCAAAACTTACACGAGTTTGTCTGAAAAAAATATGATCGACTATTTGTATTATTATTCCTGGCATTAGCATCACGGCACGAGACCCCTTTGGATTCGCAGCGGTATATAGCAAGATAGATTCGAGTATAGCACTGCCATCTAGCGTCATTGAGATTAAGTAATTTTCTCAAGTGCTTCTCGCGAGAGAGCGCTCTCTTCATTCGATCGACTTTCCTCGACCTTCACTTGTTTTCTAGCCTGGCTATGGTTTATTGACAGAAATATTGATTGTGACTCTTGCGTTCGAGGAAGTTGACTACGGGAATAGGTATTCAATCATGTATGGTTCCCAGTAAAGCGGCATCGATGCGTTCGACTCTTCCTTACGCGGAAGCGTATTTTCAACAGAAGCGACGATTCTTAATACTAATGAAAAAAAGTGGACCAGTAAGCGAATGCAGGCCGTCGGAAGCGACGGGAAAACCGCGTTGCTGAAATTCTTGGTTGGCTGTGCGAGGAAGAGCTCGTGAAATCCTTGAAGTCCCCACAAAAAGCCTTCCTCTTGTATTTCGGAATATTTTGAATATGGAGGGCGACAGACAACCTGCTGCGATCAACTGACCAACAAGTCAGCCGCTCAATTTGTCAATCAGCACCTCAACGCCTGGATCTCATTGAAAACCCATCCAAACTCGACCACGTCTCTCATGCGAAGGAGAATCCGCCGGAATGTGGCTAGATTTAATCGAAATAAGATTTAGTTTAAATTTGAATCAATCACAGAGAAAAATATGCATTATGGGAAAAATTTTCCCACTATTCCTCTTCCTTAGAAACAAAAAGTCGCGTCCTCGTACCAAAACAGTGATTTAAATTAGCCAGAATTCGATGGACTCGTTCTTCGGAGGGAACGCCTTGTTAAATATATTGATATCGAGCAGATTTGATAGTCGAGGAATACAGAGCTACTGGACTCAGGATGGAAGGAACAAGAAACGGTCTGGTCCAGCACTAAAAACCTGGTCTTAGCCTTCCATTAACGAACCGGTCCCCGAAACCCCGAGAGAATTCAATCAAGAGAACCTCAGGCTATAATTTGTAACGAACAACCATTGATTGCCCTTCCAGGTACACAGGTGGTAGTTTCGACACACCCGCATTGGACGCTTTTAGGCGCAGGAGTGATTTACAACAGAGTGGGAAGTTGTGGGGGAAGAGGGTGTTGCTCGGTTTCCATGGCAACCGCCCCGTGACCTCAGAATACTTCATTCAGGTGTTCCATGGACATGTGTGCAGTGTGTGAGTTCAATGGGGGAACATCGGACGCCAACATGGCGACGCCCCCTCCTTTAACTTACTCTCTTTCGCTATTTCTCATCTTTTCCCTTCACCGGTGCGTCTTCGGGAAATACATCGAAGGTACTCTTCGTACGTACGAGGTAACTCGCTTATGCCTTTCATCGACTCTTCTTGTTATTATGTGAGAATGCTGATGTGCCGTGTTGGGTTTACAGAACTGGGCCTTCCTCACACGATTCTGCTTCCTTTCCGAAGATGGCAAATTTGAGTTTGAGATCGAATATCCCCTCGTAAGTTCCGCGATTGAAAGTTTTAACCTCTCAAACATCTCCATTGCTGAAGCACGTCTTGTGTTTTCTTCGTCGAAAGGAATACGCTGTTGAAAGCCTTCTGCTCTACTACGACAGCCCGGATCAGTGGCCAGCTGTCTACAAGAGCGGAAAGGTAATTTTTTTCCTTTATATTTTCAGAATATTCCAGAATTTATATATATTTCTCATTCCATTTCAATCCAATATATATTTTTTTTCTTTTCCAGAACTGCACGGAAATGTTGAAGCCGCTTAAGGTGGAAAACTTTCAATTCGTGAACCTGACATCTCTTGACGACCTGTCTGGCTGTCAGGTCGTGAGGGAGCAGAACGACCAGGCCTATTACAGGTGCAAGGAAATGCGGTCCTTCCGCTCTGCGAGAGAGAGATGGTGGTTCATCGCTATTGCCAACTGCGAGTCCCAAAAGGTGCATGCAGAATTAAATGATCCACTTCGGATTCGTGGCTTCTTTTTTTTTTTAACTGGGGAGAGTTTACCTTCTTTTTTTCAGGGACTCTTTTTGGATTACAAAATCAAAATGACCAACGGTCTCCCCGGGGACTTCTGGCACGAGCACTTCTCGGCTGATGAATTCTGTGAGTTCCTCTTCGTGACTTGGTTAGCACGAGACGATATCCAATCAATTACGAATGATTTTTACAGGAAAGTTGTTCATTCGTTGCAGATATATTGCGAGTGGACATAATCTTCTTTGCCCTGAATGTTCTCCTTTGTTTCTTCGCCTTCCTCGAAGCAGGTAATTGTGGAGCCAGCTCGATTTGTCCCATATTTCTGATCAGCTTATGAGTTGCACTTTCACAATTTCAGTGGAGTTGAAGGCTCGGCAGTTGCTTCACGTCACATACAAACTTTTCGTGACATCCCTGATCCTTCAATGCGTCGGAGTTCTTTTCCTGGTCCTTGCATACGCCCGATATGGCGTGGATGGAGTTGGCTGGCCCGGCATCAAACTAACAGGTAATCTTTCGATAGGAGTTCAGCCTGTATTCTAATGGAGGAAATAGCTCTGGGGTTCCTGCGCTGGAAGAGCTCAATTTCTCTCAATGATGGCTATAAGTGCTGCAGTTAGAAGGGGTGATCAAAAAGTTCCAGGACTGAATTTTTTATGACGCTGTGGTGACTCATTCCGACTACTGCTGCTTATATCCTTCAAACTAGTCCTCTTCGGCATCTACAAAAATTTTAAGACTTTTTTTCAGCCACTGGAATAATTGCTGACACGCGTCTTTTGGAATAGCGAGTAGCGAGTAGCGCTCGTGGCGCGTTCGTAATGCTGCTTTAAATGTCCTGAAATTTCCTTCATTTTCCAGTTTCAGCGGTTTCTGACCTACCTCGCAATCCCTCTCCTTCATAAGTCACCCAACTCGCTGGACATAGCTCCTAGTAATTTCTTTTTGTTCCCTAAGCCAAAGAGTGGAGAATGAAGCATAAAGAATGAAGGAGATTTCAGGCATTCAAAGCAAAGTTGTAAACACGACTCGAGCACTTCTGGTGATTTCAAATGTTAAGTGTCAGCAATGTTTCCAGCAGCTGAAGAAACACTGGAAAATTTGTGTAGATGCCGAAGAGGACTAGTTTGAAGGATATAACCATCAGCAGTCGGAAAGAGTCACCACAGCGTCATAAAAAATGCAGTCCCGGAAATATTTGATCATCCCTCGTACATACCTGACTCTATAAATCAAGATATTTCTATATTAATTTTTTATTTGGTGCTGGTCAATACTACTCAATGCACATAGTAAGTGGAAATATGGAAGAGTGAAGTGCAGGAGTGTTCTTTACTCACTAAAGAAAATTATAGCTTTCTCTTGTCCCTCTATTCAGCCGAACTTCCCGTTTTCATCGAAGTCGGAGCAGCGAGATTGAATAATCGGTCTGTCTTGCTCTTGTCACTGGCAGGTGAACTGCTAGAGTCGTGCAGCGAAATCATATTCGTCCTCATGCTGCTCCTGGTAGCGAAGGGTTACACGATCACGAGGGGGCGACTGAGACAAGGTTCCAGCGTGAAGCTCACTCTCTTCATGTGCGCCTATTGTCTCGCCTATGCCACGCTCTTCATATACCAGCAGCAGGTTTGGCAGCGCATGCAGTTTCCTGTTCAGCGGGTTTCAGAGAGATGCGACTTTTCCATCGCTCATGTAGAATTTCGATCCGGGGGAAGTGCTGTATCTGTACGAATCCCCACCTGGTTATGGGATCGTAAGTCTCAGACTCATCGCCTGGGTTTCCTTCGGTTATTCAGTATTCTTCACGCTTAAGCATTATCCAGAGAAGAACTCCTTTTACCTTTCCCTCCTCGTCTTCTTCACTCTCTGGTGAGCCTCGCCCAATCACGTCAAATCGTTGATATAAAAAATGTCTCACTGCTCTAATGAATACGCCCTTCGCACACTTTTCTCAGGTTCGTTGCTGGTCCGATGGTCATACTCCTGGCGGCTTATGTAATCCCAGACTGGATTCGAGAAAAAACGGTGAATGCAGTGGAGTTGTCGGTCACATTTTTGGGACATATGGTCTTCCTGGTGAGGGACTTTGCATCGCCATTTACTTAAATAGCAAGCTTCCTTTCTTCACAAATGAGGCCCCCTCATGCAAATTCACCCAGATAAAAGTGATAAATTTGTGCATTAGGGGTGTGTGTGCGCGCGAAAATTCTCACCAACGCTTGAATAATTACTAGCATTGCAAAATTTTAAACACGCCTCACAGATACTGTATGATAAACTTGAAATTTGCCCTTGCGAAAATGTTCTAACATGTTCTAATGAAGCTAACATATTATGAAATATATGTGAAAATCGGAAACTTCCACAGAGAAGCATGTTGGAGAGGAAGATTATCTTTCCCTAGCGCTAAACACCAACCATCTACTGGCATTCTCCCATATCCTCCTCGTCCTCCCTTTAATCTTCATGTTTCCGATTATTTTGCCTGTGCTATCTGTACAGTCAGTACACTCAAAGGAGGCTCGCAATAGGATTGGCCCTTTTTCAGTTTGTTCTGGGCAAAGCTCAGGACAAACAAGCCAGAAGAAAATATCATTATCGACGGTGACATTGGGTGTTTGATCAGATTCTGACTCGACCGTCGGCGGCGAACGATAATTTCCCGTACCACGTGAGGACGACACAGATTGGAATCATGGAGAACTCCTACAACGGGACCATAGGAAACAATCACTTAGACGCTTTTGGCCATCATCCGTACGCACCCTCGGCACCTCTGGCGGATGAGACCTCGCAAACAGTGCCCAACCAGACACCCGGACCACCCCAGCCCTACCGTCGAACACCTGCCGAGATCTTCACCGTCGCCACCAGCGCAGAAATGGTGCCAAGATCGTCCACATTCTACACTTTACAGTCTCAAGCTCGAGAAGAGAAAAATATTCGAATGCTCTTTTCTTTGCAGACGAGAATGGGGAGGCTGCCTCCATTGAAGCCTGCAGGGAAGAATGACAACAGCTTCCCACACCACGCGCCGGGGGAACCAAGACAGCTCCTACAAGAATGACGAAAACTTCATAATAATTGGCTCTGAGGCTGACACCCTTACCTCTTTTTTCTTCATTTCCCATCCCAAGTAGGGTAAGTGCTGCGAATGTCGGCACTGGGGTAATCTCGGCACTTTGCAATCGTCAAAATTCTGCTTCCACTACTAGTCCCCTAGGCACGGGTAGATAAGTATTCTCAGATGGTAGGACTAATGTTAACTTGTGCTTGGAACAGCCTTATTTACTGTTGCAGTTCTCTCGCAGTGGCCACTTTCTCTAAGCGCACTCCGAAAATCCTGCGAAATCTTGGGATTTTGCTATGCTTTTGTACATTCCGTTCTTCTCTTCCACATTAGGAATTGTTTTATCAGGTCGTTGCATTCATTTTTGGATCTGTTGTAAACGACAATGATACACAAGTGTGCCGAGATTGCCAACATCTGACCCAACTTCACCTTTGACCCAGGCCCTCGGAAATGAAAGGTCTGGGGCACTCGAGGTTTGCGGTATAAGGTTTATAATAAAGGTATCACCAGACCCAATATGAACGAGGAAGCTCCATTACGAAAACCAGCAAGCAAGGTGGAAGTGCAGAATATGCTTGAGTCTCGACATTCGCAACACTCACCCTATGGCTCAACGTGTCATGTCAGCCTCAGGGCCAGTTATTATGCCCTGTTCCCTTTGTGATGATTCTACACCTCAGTGGTCCTTCGTCACCCCAAGTGGCTTCTTTCGAGTACAAATATCCACCCCCCTGGATTTGCTCTTAGTATTTTTGGGCTCATTGAAAGCATGAATGTGGCATGTCTTAAAAAAGAGTTGTCTCGTGAAGTGTGATAATTGCGCAATGAAGCAATGCACAATCAAACTCCTCCTTACGGAATATTGTCAATTGAAGCAACTGATCAAAAGAGGTAAAATGTGATATGCAACATGGATGCGAGGGGGTGTCCAAAAAGTCCTCCCACTTCACATTAATTTCAGATTTCAAACAATCGATCAAACTTTAATTTTAACTGAGTGAATAAGAATGAGTACTTGAGTTGTGGCTGAAAGCCAATTGGAGCCCTCATCAACTAGACTATAGCAAAAATATGTGTTTTACATCAATCAGTATTCAATTTTTTTAACTGGGACACTAAAAGCAAATAAGAATCATTGGAATTGGAGAATCAATGGAGGAATTCCAAAATATTTCACTGATTGAACCCAGCTACTTCCACAGTCAGTATAGAAGACACTAGGCATCTGAAAATGGAATGACCTAACAAAGTCACACAACAATAAAAAAAATTTGAAAACTATAAAGCAATTAGTAGTCCAGTTTCTTATGAAGGGTTTCAAAGAACTACAAGTCATCCAGTTCTAGTCAAATTCTCAATAAGACAACAGCTGAGAAAAGGTTTATTCCAAAAGCCAATCTATAACAACAACAGTCCTCATTTCCTTCTCTTCAGCTTTTTCTGCTTCTGCTTCTTCACTTTTCCACTCTTCACTTTTCTCAAAAATTTTAGGGATTCTGGTTCTTGTTTTTCCTCTTGAAGGGCTTCCAGGGCTGTCTGTTCATCTTTTGTGATGAAGAAACAAAATTAAATATGAATCTCATGGTCATGATAATTATAACTTCAGACAGAAATCACATCTGAGCTCACTCTGTACAGAAGGAAGGTCTAGTTTCCCTGAGCGAGTGGGATACTTGGTTATCCCCATTTGCCTTCTTGGGGCAATTGGCTGAGATAAAAGCTGATTTAGTCGGCTTCTTAGCTGTCCCACCAATTTGGACTTCTCTTGTTGCTCATCTTTCTTGTCTTCATCATCACTATCTGAGCTCCTACTGTAAAGTCAGAGAATTAGTTCATCAAGTCACATGACCAACATCCATGATACACCCAGAATAAAAAAAAAAAAAGGTTTCCCATACGAGAAATCAGAATCGCTGAGAGCAAGATCCAATTCCTTGGCAGCCTTTTCAAACCATTTTGAATCAGCAGATTTCTTTTCCAGGCGATGCATTTCCAGGGCCAGCTGCTGAGCCAGCTTTACTCTATCCTGGATGCTTGGCATTAGCTCAGCATCAATTGGAAACACGGGGAGGTCCGCCTCTGATGGAGAGTAAAATTCAGTAGATGAGAATTCATGAGAGATTGCCAATTACAGTTAGGGATGGAGAGACTCACCCCTGTTCAGTGTGAAGCACAATTTTCTATATGCAGATACCTCACTTGGATCCATCAAGATGACACTAAGACCCTCCTTTGCAGCTCTTGCTGTCCTTCCACTTCGATGAATATAGCTCTACAGGAAAGAAGAAATGAGGAAAACATATTGATGGGAATTCCAGACATGCTGTCAGTTGCAACGTATAAGCAATAAGCTACCTCAGATGTCCTTGGAACTTGATAATGAAGGACATGCTGAATGCCAGGAATATCAAGACCACGTGCAGCAACATCTGTTGCCAAGAGAAGGCCCTGTGGCTTGGATGAGAACTTCTCAAGGTTTTTTAACCTTTGCTTTTGCAGCATGGATGCATGAAGCCAAAGGGGTTGACACTGTAGCTGATCAAACACTCCTTTCAGATGTCTCACGCAATCTATTGAATTGCAGAACACCAGGGTTCTTCCAGGGTGCTACACCAAATTATACACAGAGAAACTGCATCACAGTGAAAATGCACAAGGTATGTACAGTATATAGCTCCAATTGGTGCCTGCAGTTTTCTTGATTTTTATCAGAAAATGCAGAAATGCCTGTCTTGGCACTAAACAATGACAAACCTTGACAAGAAAATAATACAGGTACATATCCTTTTCCTCCTTGCCGCAGAGAATACGTGCTTCAGAGAGCATCTCAGCAGTGCCCAATTTTCTAGTCAGATCAACCACTTTTGGCTTTCCATTCATTTTTATAGTTTTCATCAGGTTTGCAAGCTTGTTATCAGATGTCTTAGTCCATCTGCAATCAAGGAATGCTATGATGAAGACATTGGAAAATAAAGAAAGACATGGTTACAGCCAAAAGAAAAGGACTAGATCACAAACTAACGCCTTCATGCTCTTGAGCCTGGAAGGTGGGGCATGCACCAGTGTCAATGTGGCACTGAACACAAAAGTCTGTCTCCTTGCTATGCTGGCATTGAGGCGCTCCAAGATGCGATGCAGTTCCTGAAAGTGTCCTTTCTCCACCATTCTATCAGCTTCATCAATCACCAGGTACCTAAAAATAAAAGAGACAGCAAGGTCTTGAATTGAGTTCATGCCATTAACCACTGCACCAATACCACTGTTGGGAGTCCAATACAGCACCTGACAGATTCAATGTTCTGAAGATATGAGGTCACTCGCTCCATCAATTCCCAAAGGCGACCAGGTGTTGCAACAATGATCTGAGGCCGCTTCTTCAGCAATCTTTCTTGCTTCTCTTGACTAAGACCTCCAATCACAAATCCCACCTATCAACAAACATGATCAAATATAACACAGGTGATTTACTTTATCCCATACTTTTTCAGAAGGGATCATTAGCCCATAGCTGAATACATGAATATTATTACTAACTGCAAGACTTGAAATAGGCTTTGATCAAAACTGTATTCCTATGAGAAAAATCGGTCTTTTAAATTTCAGAAGTATTCTTTTTAAAGACAGCAAGTATAGAGTTTGGACCATCAGTGAGTGATCTTGTGATAAAAAGAGGCTTGACTGCCATGGCTTTTTTTTCATGTTCCCTTCCATTTTATTGAATTCTTCAAGAAACTGAAACATTACTTAAGGAAAATAAAGCAAATGAAAGAGTTCTCCCAATTTCTAATGCCTCAGCATGCACCCATAGCATCAACATCATGTATAAAGGCCAGAGAGAGAGAGAGAGAGCTGCTCAGTTAGAATATAGTATTTTCTGCAAAACTGTTTATTGATTGAAGAACATCCAGGATAGGACCAGAGCAAGGTATGTACATATCAACAAGAAATGAAGAAATGAGATCATGATGGCAGCTTTAGTTCTTCAGTGAAAATGAGGAGGTGCAATTCAAACTCCAGGCTCAGCCTTGCCAGAGAAACTTCATGCAACCATCCTTCACCAATAACTGAGAATCTCAGTGAGAAAATGCAGATGAGAATGGGGACAAGAGAAGGCACTAGATTGCATGTGATTTATTTGATATATGTCAACTTGCAGATTGAGTTCTACAGTCGAATTTCCATGGCTAAGTTCTTCTTAACCCTTTAATGCATAGTACTGCAGATTGAGAACATCCTGAACCAAAATATACAATTAAAAAACAACAATAAAATTTTTGGGTCTTCGACATAGAAATTAGATGAAGGTATTTATATATATATATTTCCTATATTGTGAAATCCACCAAATTTTTTCACCAAAAAGGAAAAAAGGAAATTATTTTGGGAATTGAAATCTTTTCTGCTCATACTGTTTCTTTATACAGGGTAGACCAGGTACACAAGAGCCAGGAAATCTTTGGTGAAAGACTCTGGTGACTTTGTTTTGATGTAGGTGTGATAGATAAAATATGCTGCTCTGTTGTCAATTGCTTCATTGTTCACAAGTATCTGTAAGAAAAAATATTTGAGTTGTTCTATGACACAAAATTTGATGCATTTTTCTACCTCTAATAGAATAGAATTTGATAAGAGCATAAAATGTTTTCCTTTTTTGTGGTCCCCCTGTATTATATTTGTATAAAATAAATCCAATATATGAAATTATGTCACAAGTCTTTTGTCAGAGGAGACTTGGTATACCACCTGCTGAGCTTGAGTTTGTTACCCAGGATTGTGAATGCTGGAAGATGCACCTGGGCCTGCTTGAGCAACAACTCCATAAAGTTGGTAAGGTTTTGAAAATGTATGTATATATGTATGAATAAAGCATTTAATCTGATTCATTCCAGAAGCACACTGACCATCCAATGGCCCTGCAAAGAAGCAAACATGACATCTAGCGATTCATCTAATTATAGTGTGTTCTCCATTCTCTGCAGACCATGTTGGTACAAATCAATCCAAAACTGATGTATGACAATATGAAGATGTCAAGATACACAGTTATCTAAGTGCCTCTGAGCCAACAGATGACCAAGAGGTATGTATACATTTCAAGATTCATTCACCTTGATATCAGTATACTTGGCTGCAGCTACTATGTGATTCCTCACTTGCAAAGCCAGTTCTCTTGTTGGGGTCAGTATTAATGCTTCAAGCTTATTATCTCCATCAATCAGCCCTGCAAAATTAAGAAAGGTAGTGAGTCAATTAAGAAAACAAATCATTAGGTCAGAAGTGGCCTTTACAGTTCCTAAAGTCTTATCATCTAAGAAGAACAACCTTCAGAATTCAATTTCTCCTGTAGAATGCCATGAATGATAGGGATTGCAAAGGCCAGGGTCTTTCCACTTCCTGTCTCAGCTGCTCCCAGTATGTCTTTATGATCCCTGATGGCTGAAGGTATTGTCAATGCCTGAAAATAAAAGTGAAATAGAAAACCAAAGGCTAGGGCTACTGCAGAAATGTATAACTATGTAGATACACTACTGGTATTTAAAGTACAATTCACTTAGGGGCTTTTCATGGTAGTCCAGTAAAGTGGTTTGCTCTCACCTGAATAAGTGTGGGAGAGTTGAATCCCAACTCATCAAGAGCTCTGAGAACAGGGACAGGAATCAGCAAAGGTTTCCAAGTGGCCATTCTTGTCTCTAGTGCTGCCATACTGAAGGTTTCATGCGAATCACAATTAGCAGAGGTTGCTAATATATTTTCTTGGATGGGACTCACAAGGAAAGCACCACTTGCACTTCTCAAAGTCTGATGAGTACCTGTTACCTTCTTTCTCTCTAAATATTGCTTGCCTTGAGTGCTAGACTTCCATTCCAAACCATTGTGCTTCTCTCTTTTTTTGTCACTGAGAGGCATTCTGGATTTTACATCGGTATTGGCCTTTACTGGATTTTTTACTTTCTTCTCTTTCTTACCATGTTTGTTGTTAATTTTTGGAATATCTCTCCATTTCTCATCATTTAGAATGTTTTTAGAAAGCACATGAATCTTCTCTTTGCTTCCTGTCTCTTCATTCTTTTTGAGCTCCGATGGCTTCATTAATGTGTACTGAGTGCATTCCTCTAAGCCTCCAAAGCCTTGCCAATCTTCTTCACCCATGTCAATGGCAACCTCCCCATCACCTAGTGGCACAGATTTCCAGTCCATGTTTCCAGCAACAGTGACAGGCTGAATTGCTGGGGCCTATTGCAATATTAGAGAGAGTGAGAGATGTAATGTCAAGGTGTACTCTAGACCTAGGCCTACGTCTGGACACGTATCTTTTATTAACCAATATCCAATATACAGGGTGGCCCAAAAAAATGTACCCACACTTTGAATAACTGCATAGCTGAAGGAAATAAAGTCACATATTAGCATTACTTATTTATTAATACTTAATACAATCTTTTACCTCTTCATACACTTTTGGTTCACCAGAGATGCTCAAATTGGCATCCACAAGCATTTAAACATTTAAATAACAATAATGACAAAATTATAAGGACTGAAAGAGTGAGTATATTTTTTGAGACACCCTGTATATAGATGAGACACAATACAGCTGAGGAGGCAATTTTCATTGGTTACCTCCATCTAATGCAGGGACTATGGAGGGGAGTCCATGAGGGGCTAGATGGAGATTTCTTTGGCATATAAGCTGAATGTGGGAGAGAAGCAAAAATTAATATTTTAAAATGTGATGCTATCCCAGATGACTTAGAAACTGTGTGGGATGGGAGTTTTCCATTATACACACCTCCCATAAGCTCTACTCTCCTGGGTTACACCAGCTGAATGCAATATCATGAATATGCCTAATATTATAATGCCTCTTCCCACTTCATTACAGTCCATTTTACCCTTTCATTCCTCCCTGCCCTCCGTTGGCAATTTCACATGTTTGTATAAGGCCTCCCTACCTCTCAGTCTTGGTTTGAGGTGGGTCAGGTAAATTGATGATAGCAGCTTTTTTCATGTAGGAATACACATATTAATCATCTTTCCCTCCTACCCCACCAAGATGCATGAGTCAAAGGTGTCAATTTCGTGAATGAAAGTCTGGGAATATGAAACTACAGGAAGAATCTGGAGATCAAAGTACATGAGTCATAAGAAGGGCTAGACTTTGTATTCGGAACATGCAATCCAAATCGGAAAGTTTTATACTGACACCCTATAAACAGTTTCATGAATAGTCATTCAGTTGTTGAAGGCACATTACATGATTACTCAGGATATCTGATGCAATTCCTTAAGTGTTGTTGGATTGTCTGCATGGGGGATAGTGTTGGAGATATGATACAGATGAGTAATTGGAACCTAGTTTGTGCTTAGTGAAGCTGGAGCAATTTAGGTGCATATCTAACAAACAATGCTCATTGGGTCTAGGCCTTTGGCTCTTTTTGCTAGTTATGAAAAAAAAGGTCTCTGAAATTCAATTTAAAAGAAACTACACATGGTTTGAAACTTTTAGTCAGGTAATGGACACTTCATGACTGAGAGATCCTGAACCCCCAGCTGACTGGCAGAAGCTAGACTGTTTCAATTGTGCATTATTTCTATTTCATTGCCTTTTCCAATAGGTCCAAGCTCCAATAATAGTGCAAGGGAAGGGCCATGAGCCTATATATTTACATCCTAGCCATACAGAAATTTACTGCAATGAGATAAGTAAAAAAAACCTGTCAGTTCCTACCTCATTATGGATGGAATTCTAACACCCATATAATAAATAAATCTTCCATAAATTGCAGGCAGTTAAATATTGAGAAAGTCCTTCAATGACTTTTGATTTCACCTCTATGGAGTCCTGTACACTGCCTAGTTTGGATTCCCCAAGGCCTATGACAAGGTGGGTAAGGATCTGGCTTACTCATAAGTATGCTGAATTGAATTCTTTCTCTCTTGGTTACTGGGCTTGGGAGCATTTCTGTTTAATGAGATTATATATTTGCAAAATATTGCATTTATTGACTCTCTTCTTTTGGATTATGCTCTACTGCTGCAAAGAAAAACAAACCAGTTGAAGACAATTCTGAAAAAGCAGTTATCCCCTACTTGGCCAAGGTAATCCACAACAAAAAAGCAAATCTTTTCAAAATTCCTGCAGTTTTATTTGAGTTGCCCTTTATAATGACGTGAAACAGATACAACTATGTAACCTTCCAGCCATCAATTATGCATGCCAACAATTATAATTTTTTGTTGCAGAAATATTCTCAATCAGTAAGTACACATAAAGAACATATGAGTTGCGTGTCAAAACGACCCTCTCCCCCCTTGGCCAAGTAAGGGTTAAGAAGAGGAGTTGAGTTGAGCACCTGACGCATATGACAAGACCAACGCTTCTGTTTGGATTCTAGTTAGACCGGGTCCACATGCGGCTCACATGCCATGGAGGTAGCCATGGAGAAAATCAATATGGCGCCTGGTGGAAATGGCGTTCCTCCTGTCAGTCTTGTCATAGGATTATTGCACAGCGAAAGATGGGCCAAACTTTAGGCTATTCGACGCCAGCACCCCACCCCTGTCATTGTATGTCACATTAACTCCTTTCCTTTAGGCCTAGGCCAATGGGAGAGTATTTCGGGCCTTCGCTTTCCCGACCGTTCTCGTACAGCAACTTTGAATGGGTGGCACTGTGGCCCTTTTTTTTTAAAGGGTTATTAAATCTGAATTCTTTATGTAGGCTGAAGCCTCACTTCCTGGTGCATATCACGTTCGTTTAGGAATGACTTAGGCAAAGCATTTTTATCAGTAGATTATGCCAGATGACATTTTCTTTGCCTCTTGCAGAATTATGCTTCCTTTGCCAAATTGTGATGGACCTGTGAATTGATTAAGCATTCATCCATCAGTGAATCATGATTAAATGGATTGGACTTTATTCAGATTTGCAGCACAAATTGTCATCATTGCATACAAAACATTTTAGTATCTTATAATGTCATTGACATTTTTTGGCCTTTAGAGGGTCAAATAGCAAAAGTTAAAAGTTTCCTCTTGATAGTTCTTAGATCACCCAGTTAACATTGATTTCTTTTTTTTTTGCTAGTAGATGGTTAATGGCTGTTTGCCCCATCCCTTCGCTATAATACCTGACTACAGGAAAAGTTTGTGGTGTCAACACTGGAGAGAATTTATGTTTTCCTTAATAAATTTATAATGCAACTTGTGATGAATATGGAATTTTAGTTGCAGGACGTAAATGTTCACTGTCTGCTGTATATCTCTTGGTCAAGGTTGGAAGGATCTCTTCCTTTTCCTGCACAAACCTTATAGCTCAAAAAGCACTGAACCATGCTAAGCTTCAGGTTAGGGAATTGTTGCAGTGTAGATAGATATTCTTGTGCCAAATTAATTTAACAAAATCTTACAATTTGGCTCCTAACATTTTGTGATCTGCACCATTCCCTGAATATAGACCCAAAAGCTTTTGTGAGCAAATTAAATTTGTAATTCTTTTAATTTTCAAAAATTCCCTGAATAACTGGTATGTAAGTTTCTCACTGCACTTCAATTTATTATTTAGTGCCATTAAACAGTCTGCATTTGGTTTGCCTGTTTAGTGAGTCTGATGGGAAAAAAGCAGAATAGGAGTAAACCAAGAACAGATGAGAAAATCTAATCTAGTCTAATCTAGATCATCTAATGAAGAATAAACCCTCAGTTTGGCATGCCCATCCAATGTTGAAGTACCTCAGAATCTCATTAATGCCTTTACATTTTCCCCTGGGAAATATGATCTGGTGTGTTGGTTCTTTGTTCATGGTGATTGTTAAATTTGGAGCTGAAGGGCTTTTCATAGTCCATCAAAAATAATTATTACTAGAATAATGAATATGAGTGGCACATTGCAGTCAAATTTTAGGGTAAAGTTCAGAGGTGAAAGTTAGAAGCAATTTTTAAAGGAAGTCACAAGGGCATTTCAGACTTGAATTTGGTATTTTACTTGATTTATTCATTTCTTGCATTAGGTGACCCAAAATTGTGTCACCTTGACATGCCAATCCACAAGATCATCTGCTACAAGCACAATGTAGGGCTATAGGAATTCATTGGTATGCCTGAATGGGGAAAAGAGTTTACAAGGAAAGAAGGTGGCAACAACCTGTTCCTCTAGCAAGTTTGAAATACAGCATCTCCTTACAAAGCTGTCAACAGTCATTCCCCTTCAATTTCTTCCCAGGATCAGTTTAAGTAAGTTTGAAATTTCATCTTTTTTTGCTGATGTATCCAGAATGCAAAGTATGCAGGAACTGAGAAGGTTCAATGCATATATCATCAAGTCCTTTTGTAGAGAATGCCAATTCACAGTACTTGTGTGCATGAGTTCAGCACCTGTTACATCATTATTTGCTGATCTTTTAAGGAAATAGGAAGAGAGACTCAAACCTAATTGATGAGTCAAAAGACAATCCTCAGTTTGAGGCATTCCTGATTACTTAATTTCTTTTAAAAGGAAAACATTGGTTGCTGGACTAGTACCCCTATTGTAATATTTTTGGAAATCTTGGGTCCCCAAGTAATCACCAGTTTTCAGTAATTTGTTGTATATTATTGTGGAGTGCTATGCATTTTTTATATTGACAAGATTTTCTTGCAAGCAGGGGATAAAGTTTATGTGAATGGCATCATCTATAGCTCCTTATTAACTGCCATTCATTTGTGCTCCTCTATTCATCTTAATTATTCAGTAAGATGGCACTGTGTTGGACTGTTCGCTGTCAAAGAAATTTGAAAATTCAAATTCATCTGCTCTGACTGAAAGATATTCATTGTGATATTCCTAAGCAAAGAACACCAATTGATAAGTGCATGCTCGCAGATGCCAATGGTTAGCACTGGGAATGGTATTATGCAGCTTCATCTTATGTCTATCTAAAAGCCTCTAACTCTAGTTTTGTGGTATTTCTCTTTCTTTTTCAGGGCAAATATTTTTCTTATCATTCAATATTTGTTTCAGACTTAATGAGTATTGGTGGCTAAGGGTCTCACTGATGGCCAATATTTAACTCTGTAATTACTGTTCCGGGTGTAATGGATCCTGATACAACAATTCTCAAATTCCTGTTTGGTAGCCAATGTGTTACCTGTTTTATTTCAATTTTCTCATTACCATTTCATTATTTAAATATAGTCTAGGTCTAGCAATGCACTGATAC